TACTTCTCGCAATGAGGGAACCGCTAGAAGGCCCTCGGCACTGGATCTCAGTGTCCGGGCTGAGCGATGGGGGTGGAGACGCTCCTTCAGGTATACAGGTATACATGCCCTGATGTTCCTGGACTGCACTCCCATCATCCCCTGGCATTGACCATGCTGGCTAGGGCTGATGGGTGTAGAGTCCAACAACACCTGGAGGGCCAAAACTTCCCCCACAACAACCTTTCCCCAACCTGGCACCCTCCAGATGTTTTGGACTACAACTCCCAACACTTAGAAGTTGTAGCCCACTGGCTGGAGTTGATGGAAATTATAGTCCAAAACATCTGGAGCGCCCTGGGATGGCAAAGGCTTGTCTTTAAGCATGAGTCTGCATAAGCAACCAGCAGGCTAATTTGTGTAAGGTTCTCAAAGTCTGCAATTCTATAATTCTAAACAAAAGCAGGGGTGGAGATGGTGGAATTTTCAAGTTGTGTGACAGCTGAAGTGACAAGCAGAAGCTATGCCCTACATGTAGATTGGTGATTATTGGAGTGGGGGGCATCTTTTGTTATGCAAAGCAACCAGCAGGACTGAGTTTGAGGCAGAAAAAACAGCATAAACTCTTTCTCTTCCTATTTTCCCACTGAAAATCCTCTCCGACCCTGCTGCTTTTAGATGGGTATGGTGGTAGATGGCACCAGAACCTGCCCGCACAATGTGCTCCAGTGTGTCCACAGTTGCATTTACTTCCCTTTTCCAGATTTTCCCTGGATTGGGGAAAACCAGTTTACTGTTGAAAAACTGCAGGCTGCCCACTGGATACAGAGAATGCCATGTGAACAATGCCTTGGGGAAAAATCCAGCTCAGAATCTATATCAAACTCCTGTGTGGATGAGGCCTAAGATAATGGAAGGCAGGCAAAGTTATTATCAATATTTGTTCAATTAGCAGCGATTAGACCTGCTTAAAGGCAAGGTGCTGATGACCTGTTCAGGGTTAAGCGTCAGACTCTATCTAGATCTCTCCTCTTCCCTCCTCTAACATTCTGCAGCTGTTTCAGCTGGACTGGGGAAGCTGTCCCTCTCTAACCAAGTCTGTTTCTAGGTTTCATGCACACTAGCTTTGGCTCCTGGGAGAGTACACATAATTTGTGGCTATAATTTATCCTCTAGGAAAAAGGATTTTCCAGGCTTTTGTGGGGGACGTAAGGAAGGATATGTGGTTGGCTACTTCCCCAATTTCTTTTATTTTATTCTGTAGGCCTGCAGTTTGCCTAGCTTCATTATAGATCCCAGGACAGGCACCTTTACTGCACCTTGCCAACAGTTTCCTTGATCATCTGTTTATTGGAGCATGATTGCCAGTACTATATAGATTAACAGAAAGAAATGATCTTGCTTCTCCCTCCCCCTTCTTTTCTGAGACTGTGCAAATATAGAACCTTTCTCTTCCATAGCCTGCCTGGTGTCAGCTGCTCTCCAAATCACCTGCCAATCATCCTGGTTTCCTCTCCCTCCTGCCTTTTTGGCTCATACTCTTTTCCATTACCACCATTTACCTTGTGCTGATCTCTCTCCTGCCTCTCTTTCTCTTTTCCTGTTTCCACCATTTTCCTTGGCAGCAGCTGCCTTCGGCATCGAAGCCAACCTACCTTTAAGCTGCATTAAAGGCCTAGTACATATACAGTGATACCTCTGGTTACGAACTTAATTCGTTCTGGAGGTTCGTTCTTAACCTGAAACCATTCTTAACCTGAGGTACCACTTTAGCTAATGGGGCCTCCTGCTGCTGCCGCACCGCCACCGCACGATTTCTGTTCTCATCCTGAGGTAAAGTTCTTAACCTGAGGTACTACTTCTGGGTTAGCGGAGTCTGTAACCCGAAGTGTTTGTAACCCAAGGTGTTTGTAACCCGAGGTACCACTATACTAGGAAATTGGATGGAATGACTGTCTGACTGACTGACAGCCAGTACAGTTGCAACTGATCAAGGCAGCAGGGCTAAAAAACAAACCAGTGCCTCTCAGTTTTTCATAGCTAATAACTTTGTGGAACTCTGAGCTTTTGGTCACATAAAACATGACTTGACATGGGTGAGCTATCTCTCTCTCCCCCCCCCCCCAATCCAGTTGCAAATGGCACTGAAACAGATTATGCTACCGTTCCAGGCAAGTGTTAATTTCTCCAAAGTGAGATGCTAGGGTTCAAGTTGGGCTAATAAACCATATCCTCTTACTTGGAAATCCTTCGCTTCAATCCCAGATTAGAGAGTTGGGGTGCGATGGGGGTGGGGAGAAGAGATGCTTTTATTAAGGCACTCTGCATATGCTCTTCTCTAATATTACAAGTTCTTGTGTTTTTCTTCTGGCACTGAAAACAGGTTTCAAGTTTGTTCTAGCTGTATGATCTGACCACATCGTATTTGCTAGAGAGGATAAGATATGTGTAGGGCACTATACAATAGTATAGGTGAATTGTACAGTATGTTTCTTTCTACACAGTGTTGCTGTATAGCAGGAGTGGCAACAACTGATTGAAGTATGGAGAACAGCTGGAAAATGGTTTATCTGCAGCAGTGGATACAAGAGCAGAAGCCTTAAGTATTCCCTTTACAAGCCTGAAAAACTTTATCTAGAGATGAAAATTAAACCCTGGTGACAGACTTCTCAGATAAGGTTAGGGCAATTTTTGCAGGATGCCCTCTTTTTTTCTTTTCACCAGCCATTTACAGTGCAAGCCAAAGAATATTTATTCAGAAATAAGTTCAAATAATGTTTACTGAGAAATAGGTCCCACTGGACTTCTATGGAGTTTACTCCCCACCCAGTTAAGTGTGTTCAGGGTTTCACTGTCCGTCTTCTAATAGTTAAATCCTTTACAGATTTCAAATAGGCAGAGGAAGAGAATTGTGACATAGGGTTTTTCATACTAGCAATTTTCTCTGGTATTGGGAGCTCGTTTGTTCATCCCAAACTGTGGCATTCCCATGGTGCCCCATGTGCTGGAAAGACTTCCACTACAATTGCTGCAAAATAATTTTAGGGGCGATCTTACAGTTGCACGACTGCCTCACCTGGGATAATAAAGGAATGTTTGCTGGTGCTGTTGATGACTGTGCGTAATCCCTCCTCTCCCCTCCATCACTACCGGTATTTTGTTCTGAAAGAGTGAAACTGACAACACTCCTCACTATTCACCACAGTAGACAAACTGACCCATGGCACTGGCATCCATTTCATCAGGATTCTCCAGTCTTGCACTAAGGCAGCAGTGGCGGGAGTGGGGGGGAAAGCCTTATCATTTTCACCATGTGTACATCAGCACTGGCATGCAGTGATTAACAAGTGCTGGTGAAATTGACAGTGCTTCTCCCTATCTCTGCACAGTGATTAGAGAAGCCTGGGTAAAACCAATAAAACTTGACAGTTTCCCTGGGGGTTCTGAAGGCTAGAGAAGGGAGGGTATCTTGTTAATTTCATCTATGTCCAGAAAAACAAGGAAAAGTCTTGTGGCACCTGAAAAGATTCTGGGCTGTTTTGGCTGCAAAAGAGCAACACAGTTATTATCCTGCTGTAAATCTAAGTCTGGATATGAGTTTGTGATGCTGGAGCACCAAGGGAGAAGCTCCATGTTGACAACAGCTTGCTGCGTAATCTTTTTATGTTGTCCTGCCCTCAAGATATTTCTCTCTCACACTCTCTGGGATGCTTTTAATAGTGTTACACCAAACCCCTACAACAGGCATAGGCAAACTCCGGCCCTCCAGATGTTTGGGACTACAATTCCCATCATCCCTAGCTAACAGAACCAGTGGTCAGGGATGATGGGAATTGTAGTCCCAAACATCTGGAGGGCCAGAGTTCACCTATGCCTGCCCTACAACCTTAGACCTGCAATCTTCAACTGGTTGGGTTGGGGCCCACTCACTGGGTTGCGGCTTAACCTAAGGTGGGTCACAATAGAAGCACAACCACAACCACCACACAAATATACTGTATGCTAAAAACAATAATTAAGAAATGGGGCCCCAATCGCATCTGTGGGCTAGTGGTGGGTCCTTTGTCTGAAAAGCCTTAGACTGTGGAGAATATAGTGCTACTTTATTCCTTGTAGGTGTTGGGCTGTTTTTGCCTGCAGAATTCAGCCAGCCCCTCAGCCTCATCTTTAATAAAGGGGTCTCTGACCTTTTGGGGCCCATGGGCACATTTGTGAGAGGCTTCTTACCAGCCTAATTTCAGAATGGAGACTGGCATGAGAGAGAGGACCCTGTGGGCACCAGGGAAGGCCTCTGCTTCTGCATGTTTGTCATTTATCTGATCTATAGGGTTCCTTCTTTCCTCATCTCGGACCTTCTTAAAGCACTGCAGAATCCCAACCCTCCTCTTTTTGCTCCATTCCCAGCTCAGGCCTCGAGGTCTTGCAGATCCACACATGGGGGCTGGATAGCTGTGTGGCCCTTACTTCTTAACTGTCACCATTATGCAATCAGATCCTGGAGTTCCAGGGAGGCTGCTTCACTGTTTGAGTGCAAGTGTTAATATAGGCAAATACAGCTGTGTTTTTTGAAAGGGGGGGGGAGCAAAAGAGAGAGAGGCCTAGTGCAGGTGGAGATGGAGAGAGCTAACTGTCCTTCCAAAGGACTGCTTTCGTCTTTGCAAAGGAACTGGATAGTGTGCAATTGCCATTGAACATTGCTTGTGTTAGGATAGCATTAGTGGGGGGGGGGTTCAGTGGTTTTTTGGTAAGTGTGTTGTTGTTGTCATCTGGAAGTAACTTCAGCAAGAACTTTAAATTGTCCAGATGCTGAATTCTGGGACCAGTAATAATTTTGGAACGCAAGAACAAAGAATTGTAGAATACACAGGCACTGGATATGCCTTTGTGTATGATCTGATCTGCTTGTAATTAGAAAGGCTGAAGGTTAAAAGACATATTCTAGACATATTAATATCTTTTTGGCTGTTCACTCCCAGGCCAGGTTGCACAGCGATTAACATTTTATTTTCTTCTTTTCTTACCTTCTTTGGTTTCTCGTGGTGCGAAACATGCTTCTCTTGAGTAGGTGACACCGACCGGCTCCTTCTTCCCGCAATGAAAGAGCCACCTCCGGAATGGCGCGATGTCTTCTGGAGGCAAATGGGAAGTTGGGGCAGGCGATGGATGAGGGTGGAGGGATGGGAAAGGAGCAGAAAAGAAAAGAAAATAAGAGCAAATAGGAAGAACAGTCCCCCTTGCTGGATCTTGGCTTGATGGTTTAGAATAACCTCTTTCATCTCAGATGTCTCCAATGACATTATTTTTGCACAGCAGGTTGCATGACCCAGGTTCCTCAAAGGCATCAGAGCTCATTTTCAGCCAGTGGGGCTATGAACTAATTTTAGGGCACTTCCAGACAGACTGTTTAGTGAACAATCGTCCTGATATGTTTGTAGGGAGATCAGACAGCATTGGCTATTTAATGAACCTTCCTTCTGATTTGTTTGTAGGGAGGCTGGACGATGCTGCCTCAAAGCAAGTGTTACCCCACACTTTCCACTGCATTTTCCCTGTCACTTTCCTTACTGCAAAAAGTCTGGTCCTGTGAGGAAGCAGGTTTATTGCAAAAGAGCTCCAAATCAGCTAATTAGAGGTACCAGTCAGCTACTCTGAAGATCAGGGAAGTGGGACTCTGGGTGAGGGTGCTTAACCCTTCCCCCTCCATGCTCTTTCTTTCCCCAAGGGAAACAGCACACACTGAGGGCCCCTCCAGAGTGCTGTTTTATTGTTTGTGACAACACATTTGTGACATAATGATAGTGCATTAGTAGTGGATTAATTATGCTTTATTAGTTGTTTTGCTGTGCTTCCCCAAAGCCACCACATTTACCGCAATCTGGAGGAGTTGTTCCACAACCAAAGACGGACAAAAAACCCCAAAACATTTGTGGTCATGGTTATAGGATTCCAGCAGGAAGTTACAGGAAATGTGTCGATTGGAAATGAAGCAGTATGGCTGCCCCAAAACTTCTGCAGGCACAAGCAGTATTGAAAGCGGGATCTCATATAACCACCATGACAGCATCACAAGCACAAATCATCAGGAATGTGTAATAAAAAGGACGCCTGGAGGGGTCCTGAAACGGCTGTTCGCTCCTAATGCTGTTCTTCTTTTTTCCATCTGATGAGGTGAATGGGAGCACAATTTATATTGGGGGTGGGGAGGAATGGGATGGAAGAGTTAAGAACACTCTCTCCAAGAGTGCCGTTCCCCTATCCTGATCTTCAAAGCAATTGCCTGGGGCTGCTAATTACTACCAAATTAAAATGAGTCGTTCTAATTACATCAGGTCTAGTTTGGCCCTCAGTTCCCTGGTCTAAACTTATGGATCAGAGGCAGATCTACTAAGAGGGAAAATAAGGTGGCAGATTTTGAGTAGCAGAGTGAGACAGATATGATCCCTGATATGTGGTCCACTGGCAATTCTCCTGAATAAGCTTAATTGAAACTGATGGGAGCTACACACACACACACACACACACACACACACACAAACAACACACACTCCAGCTTCTTTCTGTATATATTTCAACCAGATGAGTGCTAGAGAACTTCCTGGCAAATTTAGTGGGAGGTGTGGGTGCCATTTGGATTTTCTGCCTAAGCTTCCAAACAGTGTTAAAGCCAGCATCCATAGACAGAAGTCCAAGGTGCCTTCTGCCAGGACTCAACAATTTGTGCAAGTTAACCTGCTGACAAGGAAAGCCTTTTCTTTAGCCCCAGTGAAATGGCATCTCTCTGCCCAAACTTGGGACTGCACTTCCTTTTGCTATCACTTCTCAGATTCCATCTCCCTGGCTTGGAAACTTAATCCAGTGTTTCCCAACCTTGGGCCTCCAGCTGTTTTTGGACTACAACTCCCATCATCCCTAGCTATCAAGACCAGTGGTCAGGGATGATGGGAATTGTAGTTCAAAAACAGCTGGAGGCCCAAGGTTGGGAAACACTGACTTAATCTATTGCTGGGGCTGAGCCCAGGCTCCAGGTGTGCCCTGGGCGCGGCTTCTGCGTACCTACCTCACTGGGCTGTCAAAAAGACAAAGAAGATAAGCGATTGCAAAAGCAAATTTGCTCACTGCTATATAAACAGTTATTAATACTAAAGATGAAAAAATGAAAATGAAATCGTGTTGCTGTCTCCTGCCAGCCACAAGAAAAGCTCTCAAGGTTGGCAAACAGCCAAACCTTTGCTTCAGGTAATCAGCAAAGCAGTGCACATCACCATGATTAACAAAAAGCAGGGTGTGGAGTTCTCTAGTTTGGCTTTGAGGAAGGGGCTGGTGTTATTAATCACTGAAGGTGGCAGTGCTGATAAATGCTCATGACTTTCTGATAGCTCTAGTTCCTGTCAGCTTGCCTTGGGCCCTTCCCTTCCCACCTTCTGTTTGGGGCACCCAATCAACCAGAGTCATCTCAGCATATGACATTCCTGGGTGCTGCTGTGGGTGTCGCCTCACTATCAAATACATATTTGCATAAATAGGCTGTAGCCTCTTTCTTTAAAACATGCAAACAGACAGCACCTCCTGTAAAATGTCAACATTTGTCACATCTCTTTGGGATGAGAAGCAACTCAAAGATTCAAGCATTCAACACATAGATCTGCCGATTCACTGAAATTATTCTGGTTGCTTCAGCCCATGCAAATCCATTTGGACACTATCAGGCGGAGGGTCTTTTCTGTGGTGGGACCCAGCCTTTGGAATCAACTCCTCCTAGACATCAGACAAGCACTGACCCTGACTGGTTTTAGGAGCTTCTGAAAGACTCATTATTTTCTTAGGCATTTGCTGCCATTACTTCCTAGCTTTCAGTATTTGTAGAGTTGCACGCCATCTCAATCTCCGAGCAATGCAAGATTCCAGGGGCTCCAGGTGGCTTACCCACATGATTAGGGCAGCCATGATTTTTTACTTACAGATCTGCCCCATTCCATTGGAAAGCCAGAGCTGGAGTACCCCACAATGGGAGGAACCAAGTGCTTTAAATGTATGGTTGATGCACACTTAAGGCAAGAGGCAAACACGAAGGATGCAGAGTGGTGGTGATTCAGGTAGATGAATATGGCTGGAACGGGAATGTAAATGCATCCCGATCTACCAGAGGTGAATCAGGTTTTGCAGTCTCCATGCAACTTACGCTGCCCAAAACCTGTTGGACACAATACATGTGTGTGTACTATCACTGGAAGCAAAGCCTTTATATTATTTAAAAAACCCTATTGTTTACCCTCGCTACATAGGGTTGAAGCGATTTAGGGCTTTATAGGTCAGTCAAAACCATTTACTGTCAACTAATAGTCCAGCACCTGCAACCTTTCCTTTAAAACCAGGTGCCATTGGCCATGGCTTCTGCTGTAGCTGCAACCCCATTGCTCTCCTTTGTTTGGAATAGGGGGTGTCTCTCTTCTTCATTGTTTCATTTGCTCTTTTGTGAGTGAACACCTGGGTGCACCTGAAAACCGAAGACAGAGTCAGACCACTGGGCCCAGCTAGTCCAGTGCTGCTTACTTGGGTGGTGACTTTCCACACTGAAGTCAGTGTATGTTTAGAACGGTATATAGCATTCTTCCCCAGCACCACTGACTGACAAATCTTCCATCCTCTAGGTGCCAGGGATTGAACCAGGGGTATTTTATAAACAAAGTGTTTCTTTACCATGCTTTTGGATTTGGAATAAAACTATCTATTTTTTGTTGTTGCTCAATCCTAGCACCTACTCTGTGCTTTTGGGTTTTGATGATGACAAGGGACTCACCATTTTATTGAAGTGGTACTTGCAGTAGCCACAGTATTTCACATTGTCGACTTCCAAGACTTCTTCTTCACACAGGAGCCCAGCCATCTGAGCACTGAAATGTAGAAACAAGGTGGTTGTGTGAGCCGAGCCCAGGGCAGAGGGACCAGAGCAGCCAGGTTCCCCCCTCTTTCTGCACCAAGCGCAGAAGCTTATTGCTCTCCTGCTCTATTGTTAGCTTCTCAGAATGGGCAAATAAAACCATTAGGATAAATGATCTACTCTGTGGGTGAGGAACCTCAGGCTCAAGGGCCAAACCCCTCTATCTGGTCCTTGGGACTCTCCTCAGGCCTCAGGCCTCTGCAGCCACATCCCCTACTTCAAGGAGGGTATGAAGTAGGGGTGGTGAGAAGTGTGGCCTGGGGAGAAGTGAGTCCCAAGGGCCAGACAGAGAGGGCTGGGGCCACATTTGGCCCCCAGGCCTGAGGTTCCCTACTCCTGGCCTGTATGGTTTGAGTTCATGTGTGGATGGTGATCTTGACAAACCTTTGGATAAATGGCACATCCAAAGCTCAGTTCTTTGAAGTGTTATGATTGCTGGGGTGAGGGAACAGATATTTATTTTTGTGCATTATTTATTTCTTTAGGGGGGGAAAACATCAAGACATCAACAATATGTCCATGTGGCTCTCATAAAATAGTATGTGAAAAATGTTTAAAATGGATTGAAGAGGGAAGATAAGGCAGGAAGGAAGGCAACTGAGAAGGTTCAAAGTTTCAGCAGGAAGCAACCAAAGAATCTGTGAAGTCCCTCATCGTAACTCACTCACGCAGGCTTATCTCATGGCTATGAATCCAAAACTGACGTGACAAAATTGGTGGGTTTGGAAACAGAGACCAGGGAGGAAGGAAGTGACCATTAAACAGACACAATCATGGACTCACCAGGTGACATGGAAGGCTTGCCGACAGCCGTGACGGTTGCAAGTCATGCAAGCTCCAGAGGCTGCTTTGCTCTCCCTGCCCTGCTCTTCACAGATGTAGCAAGTCTGCAACAATAGGAGGCACAACATAGACAGTGTGCATTACACACTGTGGTGAGCATACCGTGAGAGCCAAAATAATAAAAAATGTACCTGATTGTTTTTGGGGTGACAACAACTTGTCAGCAGATAAATTTAAAAAGTATAGGAGAGCACAGGGGAACTAAAAATAGGACAGTAATCTCTCTAGAAGAGGCAGAAATGGGATGCTGAGGGAAAGCACTGTACGTGCATGTCTCTTTTACCTTGCTGAACCGGTCGTGGGGTACATACTGGAGGACGATTGGCTCCATGGTGAGAACATTAGCAAATTGCACCTCAGGGATGTACAGAGCGCAGACGACATGGGCCCAGCCTAAGTGAAGGACAAGACAACAACAGTATAGGTAGAAAGGCACAGAGAGGCTTGAATCAGGCAAACATAGAGTAATTGGCTTCTGTCTCCAGTGGGAGGCAGCAGTGGGGTGGGACTGGGAGAGACCTTTAGGAGACTCAGTTTTCACTGTGGAAATAAACTTGTATACTGTACCTCAGACCCCTGGTGAGGGCTAACCTCGCAATGCCCTTCGATACAAATACAAACAAATCCTTCCATGTTGAAAGCTATGTCTGAGAGAAGGGTTCTGGCCTTAACCTCTCCCTGACATGCAAGTTTTCTGTGTAGAAAATAAAAAAGGGTGGCTGGTGGTATACAAAGGAGCATTCAGTCCTGCAAGTCCCCACGTGTGGTCACAAGTTGCATAGCCCAGGCACAGGCTTATCACCTCAGTGAAAATTAGGCCAGCATCCATAGCATTCCCAAGACCACTAAATGACATTTCCTTTCCCACACACCCCTAATCATCTTTCCCTCGCTAGTAGCTCTAATATAACCATTATGGTGTGTGTGTGTGTGTGTGTGTGTGTGTGTGTGTGTAAGGCTGCAATTTTGTGGTGAGAAACTATGTTCTTATGTTTAAGAACGTAAGAATAGCCCTGCTGAATCAGGCAAGTGGCCCAGCTATTCCAGCATCATGTTCTCACTGTGGCAAGCCAAATGCCTATGGGAAGCTCACAAGAAGGAGCTGAGCGCAATAGCACTCTCCGACAATTGGAGACAGAAGAAAAACATTATGGTTAGAAACCATTGCTAGCTTTCTCCTGTATAAATTTGTCTAATCTTGTTTTAAAGCGATCCAAGTTGGTAGCCATCACTACCCCATCTTGTGGCTGGAAGGGGTTGGGGGCCTACTGAGGCCTGGGCCTGAGAAGAGGCCTATCATCCCCATCTTGGCTCTCACTTCACTTCACTGGGCACCGCACCAAGGCAGGATACGTGCAGCCATAGTTCCTTGAAAAGGGCCTCCCTCCCCACACCATACAAGGGTCCGTGGTAACCTAGAGTCAGCCCTGACTGGTTTGTGTCAGCATTTGGGTCGAAAACCTTAAAGGCTGCGGCCTGCAGGGTTACCATGAACTGGCTGCCTGGTCCTGCTATGTGAGAAAGCAGATATTCCATGAGGGACAGGGGAAGAGGAGTCTGTTTTTAAAAGCCTGGATTATATGCACAGCGGCTTCATGTTAAACCAGAAGGCAACACTGAAAACTTGGATGCATTTGTTCCTGTGATCTGAAGGGTTTTTAAACACACATGCAAGCAGGGTAATGCATATATGGCACTAGGCCTATCACATATTCAGTCACAGTAAATTAACTGTGCAGTCCCATTCACTGAAACTCCACGCCACACCAGGGCTGGTCCTCCAACTACTAGCGTGGTCAATTGTCAGGAATGATGGGAGTTCCAGGTTCCTTATCCCTCAGTCTTTCTGCCCCCGCACTCAGTCTAGGACAGTGTTTCTCAACCTTGGATCTCCAGATGTTGTTGGACTACAACTCCCATCATCTGGTCCTGCTAGCTAGGGATGATGGGAGTTGTAGTTCAACAACATCTGAGGACCCAAGGCTGAGAAAGGCTGTTCTAGGAGAAACCAGCTAGAGGTCCATGTTTTGGAGCTTCACCAGGGAACTTACATATGCACTAGCCATTAACCCAAAGTTACCCAAAAGTAGAAGAGCATGCCCTCCTCAACTGAGTTCCTGTGTAAATTCTGGGCTGTCCCTGCCACCTTACAATGGGATGCTCACCTCCATTATCAGTCCGCTTCAATGCTCCATCCTTGTGGGGACACAGCTCGCACCTCTGAAAATTAAAGAGAAAGGTTAGGACTTCTATATAATAATGATAATACTAAAACATGTGTATAGAACACTCCAGATATTAGGCTACATACACACCCAGAAAAAGAATTCTGGGAACTGAAGTTTACCTGTCACAGAGCTATGATTTCAAGCACCCCTAACAAATGACAGTTCCCAGGATTCTCTGCAGAGGTGCGTGCTTTAAATGTATGGTGTTTGCATCGTTGTTACCCTTATAATAACCCTGTCGGGTAAGACAATATGACTGTCTCCCATATTGCAGTTGTTGTTGGGGGTGGGGGAAGAATGGCTTGTCTAAGGCTACCTGGTGAGATCATGGAAGAGCCTAGATTTGAACTGAAGGCATTCTTGTTCGTAGATTGATTGATTGATTGATTGATTTTGGCCATTACATAGGTATTTTCACTTGCATCAACCATGGCAATATGATGAACAATACAGGCAGTGCTGAGAAAACACACACACACACACACACACACACACACACACACACACACACAGAGCTATAGAACAAGTGGAACGAATTTTTAAAATTTGGATGAAATAACTATTATCCATGCCTTTTTTTTTACACCTCCAGCTCAACTTTTCCTGAAAGTTCCTATTGTCATATCATTGAACAAATGGGTTATCTCTAATGGAATAATTTATCATTAACTGACAACAACAGTAATGAAGTCGTATAAACCATCTCCAATTTTGTAAGCACTGTACACATATTTTTTTCCCAAAAATGCCCCTGCCCACAGGCACATAACATAACAGACATGATGCAAAAGGAAAAAAGGAAGAGTGAGCTCCTTTACCAGCTGATGGATTGGGTCAGGCTGCTCTTTACCTTGGCATGATTTTTAATCTTAAAAAAGTCAGAAATCATTTGAGATGATGGCAATGGGCCCACATGCGATATGCTGATGCGGCGTATGCTGCGGACTATATTGCAAAGGCTAAATCTCTGCATGTGGTATGTGAACTTTGGGACAGGGGGGTGAGGTTGGACTTTGGTTGCCTTTTGTTTCTATGGTTCTATGGTTTGCCAGAGAGATAGCTCCTGCTCCACACTATCCCACTGAACTGGACTACTGGCAAATCCTGCTGCCACAGATGCTGTTCTCAACACAAACTCCTCTTGCCTGGCAACTGGGGAGTTAGAAAAAAATCGAAACTTAGCAGGGCAGATTTGGAAGATAAGGCCACCAGTTGCTGACCCTCCATTCAATAATATAACAATACGGAACGCTTTCTAACACAACTAGGGAAGGAATTTTATCTTTTCCGATGCAAGCTTAACATGATCCGCATCTCCTGGACTATTGTGCGGATCCTGTAGCTTTCTCTCTCTCTTTTTTTTAATTTGAAAAGTTTTTATTATTAAAATAATTCAGCATTAATACACACGTATTACGAATATACAAGCATACAAACATACATTTCATACAATCCTTAGAGATGTTCAAAGCTTTCTCACTTCCTGAATGTTTTGGTACAACTCTTGGTCCAAAAAAAGTATCAAACATGAGAAAACACATTTAAAATATGTCTTTAAATATGCATTTATATGAGAATCTTCATACATTTTTTTTTTAAACCGTAGCAAAGCAGGTTTATGGTTGAACATGTGCAGAAGCAACATGGATGGGAAATAGCCTGCATTAAAGGTGGTGATTGGTTCAGTTCCAAAGGTGGCTTCTCTGGAGATGTCTTTGTAGCAGCTTTTCACTAGACTCCATTTCCTGCATCACAGACTTTCCTATCCAGAAGTTGCACTACACCCCTAAATTCAGATAACTCCTTGGTGCTCCATAGTGTCAAGGTGGTATATTGACCTCTGGTTTATTCAAGTGGTTGAGCCTTAATGAAAGAGGACGGGCTTTGCTCAAATTAAAATGTGGGGCAGGGCTCATTGAGCTATTACTCCTGGGGGGCTCTCCCCTATCCTTTGGACTTGATCCTGGTTGCAAGGTGTCCTTCTGAAATTGCACATGTGAACATATGCAAATGCACACCCCCAAAAACTACCCCACACAAGCTGGTTTGGACGGAGGAGGGGGGTCGCCACCAGCCACTGCAAGCAGCGGAGGAAAGTAGCAGTGATTGGAGTGGGGAGGAAGAGGCAAGTGTCTCGGAAAGATCTTTGGTGGGCTGCCTTTTGAGGGATGGAGGTCTAGGGATTCAGGCCTGCTACTGCAAAGGATGCACTTGGAACTCAGAGAGACAGAAGAAGAGCAGGCAGGGAGCCTTAACATTGGGAAATTTGCACTTGAAAAGGTCCCTCCATCCCTTTTGGATCAAAGCGCCTCTCCTACCACACTATTAGCAAAGCTCTGATCATTAGCAGGAAGGGTTAAACAGCTCTGCCAGCCAGCCGGCCCACCCACCCCTTGGAAGGCTTTAATATCCCTGCTGTAACATGACTGTTAAAGCCTTCACATGATTCCCCCCCCCCACTTCCCTCCCTCCCTTTCCCACGAGTTGCCCTCCAGCCAGTCCGTCTCAAAGGGCTAGCCAGACAATTCCTTTACAAAGCAAACAGAGCTTTAGCACTTCCTTCATCTAATGGAGCACAGCATCCCCGAGGGGGCTTTGGGAATGCAAGGAAGAATGAGAATGTGTGTGTCATTCCTAAAATGAGGAGCAGCTGGGACTCGGCCCATCTGGACATTTGGAAGCTGTTTAGTGTCAGACATTTGGGATCCAGCTGCGGTTATGCAGGGGCAAGCATTCTGCACATGCCCAGAGGCATTCATGCATGTATTAACAGCTCTATATATTACATTGGCCAGGAATACAGGTGCTGGTAAGACTGAGCCCTAGCACAAATTGAGCTTCGGGTTCAGTTTGAATTAGTGCTTGGCCCCAGAAACTATTGCCAACACATAGCTCTGGAAGAAATGAATACATATTCATTTGTGTGGCCATAACCAGCTTATGGCTGGGGACTTGTGGAACATGTAATTGCTGTGCCTCTAGGATTTTCGGGGGGGGGGAGGTTATATCCAAGCAGCTGCGGGGCTAGAAGTACCTATACTGTCTGCAACCCACCCCTTCCCTGGCAAACCTGCAGAAATCTTTGTGGAAACAGATCTTCACAAGTTCAGCTTACATCTCCAATGCTCTCACCTTCAAAGGTGGCCAGGTGTAACTTCCTACTTTTAAAAGCTGGGAATGGGTACCAAAGTACAGAATACCAGAATACCAGGACCTTATATCACTTGAGAATGGTGTGCTTGTTTTTAAAAACATTACTTTCCACACAAAGAATCCACACAGAATTGACCCAAATCAAAGTAATCCAGCACCTTAAAAATGGAAACATTGAAAATCAACATAAAGAGATATATGTATCTAGGGTTGCCATACGTCTGGAATTTCCCAGACATACCCGGAATACTGCTGTCAGAAGCTGTATCTAGCTGGAAATCGGCAAAATGTCCGGGAAAATCCAGACGTATGACAACCCATGTCGGCAGTGCCATTTCTGGTGATTTTACTTTTAAAAAGCTCAAAAACGTACATTTTTACAACTTTGGGGGGGGGGGGAATAACAATCACTTTCTGAAATGGCAACCCTGGTATTGCTGTATGGAAGTATGCTAAGTGTCAGGTTATAAAAGGGCACACAAGGGTGTGTACAGAAACACATGCAAATCATGGTTCACTATTTTTTCTCTCCTAAAGCTCAAGCCTGGCTTTCTCCTGCTTTCACAAAGCATTTGACAAATGTATAGGCCAGGAAACTGAATGGCGATTCAGTACCATTTTGCCATTTCTGCCATGCTTCAGGAAGGCTGGCTGCCCTATTAAAAAATTTTAAGTGCCAGACAAGAAATTCCCTTTTGCTGAGTCAGACCACTATAGTCTATATTGACTATTCAGACAGGAATTTTCTCTGACCCAATCTCAATATTCTGGGGACTGAACCCAGGATCTTCTTCATCAGCGACGCAGAACCTGTGGCCATCTATATGTTGTTGGGTTCCAGCATCCAAAAGTCACAGCCAGCATGGATGATGGACAGGGCAGATGGGAGTTGTAGTCCAAAAACTACAGGTTCCCGATCTAAATGCAAAAAACTTTCTATCTTGTGTATGTCTACTCAGAAGCTAAATTTAATGGGCCTAACTACAAACTATAAACCACTTTGAGATTTTTTCCTTAAAAATATAAAGTGGTATAGAAATAATAATAATAATAATACTGATGGGCCTTGAACTTTGTTTTATAGCCATGGTTTTAGGCAAGAGTCCCAGCTGTTCCATTTATTAAAAAGAGTAAAGGACCCCTGGACAGTTAAGTCCAGTCAAAGGTGACTATGAGGTTGTGGCGCTCATCTCACTTTCAGGCCGAGGGAGCCGGTGTTTGTCCGTAGACAGCTTTCCGGGTCATGTGGCCAGCATGACTAAACCACTAAACCAGTTCTGGCACAACGGAAGACCATGACAGAAACCAGAGCGCACGGAAATGCCATTTACCTTCCTGCCACAGCAGTACCTATTTGTCTACTTGCACTGGCATGCTTTCACACTGCTAGGTTGGCAGGAGCTGGGACAGAGCAACGGGAGCTCACCCCGTTGCAGGGATTCGAACCACCAACCTTCCGATCGGCAAGCCCAAGAGGCTCAGTGGTTTAGACCACAGTGCCACCCACGTCCCTAAATGACATTATATTCAATCCCCCTCTTTAAAAGCAGTGGGCAAGCAGAATCCCTTTTTTAAATGTTGAAAAATTGCTTTGAAGGGGGAGGAATATTGACATCACCCATTTCCAGCCAATCAACACAGCACTGCAAATACACAGAACTGATTTCCTGCAACCTCATTCTTGGAAAGAATATGATACATCTAAAAAGAACATGTGGTTAGTGAACTTGTACAAAAGGCTTGGTGCTTAAATTATGTACTTCTGTACTCACTCAAAGACATGAAAGTTTCTCAGGGTTTTTTTGTTTTTAAGTATACACACACAGAGAGAGTGAGAGAGCACTTTGATAATGAATCAAGCTTTGCAAGAACATCGGAAGTGATTACACATAATGTCAGCTTTTTTACACAAATCTATATACATCAGATCTAGCATGTGCAAACACTGTTAAAAACTTTCTCCATAAGCTAGGCCAGGGGTCAGCAAACTTTTTCAGCAGGGGGCCGGTCCACTGTCCCTCAGACCTTGTGGGGGGCCAGACTATATATTTTTTTGGGGGGGGATGAACAAATTCCTATGCCCCACAAATAACCCAGAGATGCATTTTAAATAAAAGCACACATTCTACTCATGTAAAAACATGCTGATTCCTGGACCGTCCGTGGGCCAGATTTAGAAGGCAACTGGGCCAGATCCCCCGGGCCTTAGTTTGCCTACCCATGAGCTAGGCATACTAGCATCCTCACTGAATGGAATGCAGTAAGTTTGAGGCACCAAATAACAGCTACCTAGGTTAATGAAGCAAAAAAGAGAGACCTCCCACAACTGTAGGAACAGGCTCTCAGGTGGACATCAGATTGCTCTTGCATTAGGATTACAGTGGTATCTCAGGTTACATATGCTTCAGGTTACATACGCTTCAGGTTACAGACTCCGCTAACCCAGAAATAGTGCTTCAGGTTAAGAACTTTGCTTCAGGATGAGAACAGAAATCGCACAGCAGCAGCGCGGCGGCAGCAGGAGGCCCCCATTAGCTAAAGTGGTGCTTCAGGTTAAGAACAGTTTCAGGTTAAGAGCAGACCTCCGGAACGAATTAAGTACTTAACCTGAAGTACCACTGTACCTGAGCCACACACTCTGTTCCTCCACCCAATGTATGTTTAATCAAAATCCCTCCAGGGCACCTTATCATTTAACTAATGCTTCATCCCAAAAAACAAAATCTCATCAACAATGGTGTGTGGATCACGTTACTTAGTCATGTGACAAGCAGCAGATGGAACCAATTTTTATTTACTCAGAAGAAATCTGAGCCACAGGATGCCTTGTGTGTGTGCATCTGTTCCTTCCAAGCTCAGTTGCTGCACCTCGCAAGGCTCTGCTGAACTGGGGGAAATGGGAAGTCACCCCAGCAAGTATAACAAACAGAGCAGTCTTATTTTCACCCTTCCAAACAGAAGCAGCAGTTATGCCCACTCTGCCACAATAGCTCAGGGCTCATCTCATCCACACTGCCGCTTGTCTCGTGTCTAGAACGCACGAGTCTGCGGGGAATTATTTCGCTTACACTGTGTTTTTGAGAAAGGAGTCTGAGCAGTTTTGCCCCACTACTTTCCCCTGGAAAACCCACTCTCTGGCGCTAAATGAGAGCAAATGTCAATCTGGAGAAAACCCAACTGACATTTGCTCCCATTCAGAGGGTTTTCCCACTGGGAGCCTTTCTGACAGGCTTGGGGGGAAACAGCGTCTCAAATTCCTAGCAGAGGGCATCAAACTTCAAGGTGGCTGCTGAGGTTGCCATTTCAGGGTGCATAGACAGCATCGTTATATAGTTTAGTCACTAGGTGGCACTGGACTTAGTTGTAGCCAGGTGGAGTCAGGTGTTTCTTATCAAAGAATCATAGAGTTGGAAGGGACCACGGGGGTCATCTACTCCAATCCCCTTGCAACACAGGGATCTTTTGCCCAGTGTGGGGCACGAACCCACAACCCTGAGATTAGGAGTCTCCTGCTCTACGGACTAAACTATCCCTTCTTGGTGTTATAAGGATTTGGAGAACTGGAACCCAAATAACCTTGATTTGTAACTGGGTTGGTTGCCCTTGTGGGCTGTTCTGTTTTTCTTTAAGGGAGACAATAAAGTTCTTATCTAGCTTCCTGACTTTGGTGTCTTCTGACCCCAGTGTTCTTCATCCTTAGGTCCCCAGGTGTGAATAGACTAAAACTCCCATCATCCCCTGCCAGCGTGGTCAATGGTCTAGGCAGCAGTGGCTGCCCACCAAAATTGATGGGATAGAGCAGGCATAGGCAATCCCCGGTCCTCCAGATGTTTGGGACTACAATCCCCATCATCCCTAGCTAACAGGACCAGTGGTCAGAGATGATGGGAGTTGTAGTCCCGAAACATCTGGACGTCCGGAGTTTGCCTATGCCTGGGGTAGTGTGTAGGGACCCTAAACAGCAGATGGGTCCAGCGCTCTGGTCAGGTAAAGCCACCATCTTCCCTGCTCTCCTCCCTAAGAGGACAACACAAAGATTAAGGAGAATTAAGCTGACAGGTAGTGCCACCCCGGGGCCTGGTTGTAAGGCAGGCAATCAGGGGGCAGGCTGAGGAGAGAATGAAGCTGGTGGGGCAGCCCCTCCCCCATTTGCCCTAATGAACCAGCCTTTGCTAGGTCTGCTCAGCCTCCTATGACAGTGGATACAGCTGCCACCTGATTTTTTAAAAAATCCTATGCTACTCCTGTGCCTTTAATATCCATTTCATTTGGGGAAATTGAAGCTTTTCACAGCATGGAGAGATGCATTTACTTGCTACCTACTCATGTGTGCAGATCAAAGCCACAAGAGCAAAAACCAATGGAAAAAGTTGGCAACTCTAAGGGTGGGAGGGACATTATTGGGGATGTGCAAAATTAAATGACCAAGGGGAAAAAAGGAAAGATTATTTGTCCCCTTTTAAAAACACAGCTATGATGTAGTGAAATAAGCAGAATGGAAGGCGAGAGGTGGGAGGGGCCCTGAATTTTGGCCTCACACAGGGCACCGCAGAAATTTTAAACACCTCCTAGCACATATAAAGTCATTGCTGTTGTTGTTGTTTTTTTAAAATAATAGCCACTCAATGTATAGAGCTAGAGAGAAAATGTGAAATATAGGTGCTCCTGCAATACAGGGGGTCACATGAGGTAAAAAATAAATAAATACAGACAGGGAGTGCTACTTCTGTGCCCACCTCAGATAGTGACCCTAGAACCAGGTCTGCATAGGTGTGGAGAAACTGGCAAATTATGTAGGCACCAGTGCCAACCACTTAGGTGCCTAGTGCTCACTGGCCGCAAGCCTCCACCTTCAGAGGCAATCTACCTCAACATTCGAGATGGCAACCTAAGCAGGCTGCTGCCTTCATGTTCTGTTTCTGTGAGCTTCGCAGATTCACCTGGCTGATCACTGTTGGTAACAGGATGCTAGGGTTAAATGGAACTTGGGCCTGACCCAGCACAGGGCAATTCTTCTGACATACTCACCACCCTGGCGGCTCTTTCTTGGGATTCACATTTTCGACAAAACCACGGTCCAGTGGGAACCTGAACAATTCCATAGCATGCTGTAAGGGAAGAGGAAAATACAAAGAGTGAAATGTGCGGGTATGTACTGTGTGTATGTTTAGAAGCTCCTATTCCAGCTGCAAATCTGGGCTGGTCCCCTCCAACACAACCCTCCCCCCCCCTTATTCAGTCTCTTAGAGGCTCGGCTGGACTTCTCAAACCTCATGCTGTATGCCTGCACAACTTGTGATGCACTGAGCCAAACACATCCAGCCAGTCATAGAAGACAGCTCAATAAACCTTCTGGTTTTTTGTGGCCTGCCCACACCACAAAACAGGAGGTTTTCAAGCAGTTGGCAGGCCACAACTTGAGCTAGTGGCTCCATTCAGCTTGGTGGGTTCCTAAGTTGTGCAGGCCTACCAGGCTGCAAATCTGCCAACTCTCCCTGCTTTGGAAGGAGCACACTGCAAAGCTAAGCTCCACAGAGTACGTAGTTGCCTGCCTTTCCCTTTGTTATGAGTCGTGTTTCCAAAAAGTTATTGTCAATTACGGCAAATTGAGAGCAGACCTGAGCTTGCTAGTTCAAAGCAGTGTCCCCTTCCCCTCAAAAAAGAACCATATAAATTCTACCCCTCAGCGAGTCCACGGTTTGTTGACAACCTTCATCTTAAAAAGGCAGCTCAGCTCTAAGGTCCTACAACCAGACTTTAGATTTGAGCTCTATAGCTGTAGCAAGGTAGGGTTAGCAGTACACTGCCCCATTGGGAGCACCGATTTGCCTGCCTAGGTTTTAAGACCTTCCATCTGAAGAATAAAATCTGCTTCTTTTAGGGACGTTTCTGTCAGTTAAGTGATCCTGTAGGGGGAAACTCTTTGAACCTGGCACAGTGCTTAAAAAGGTAAGAGGTAACTTAAGGAAAAGTATTCATTTGAAGAAGGTGCTCATGGATAAAAGTATCCAAACTTAAAAGCAGCTGCTCCCACTCAGCTTTAATTTACTGAACCTAACCATTGAGAAACAATTTTGACAACAGGTTTTAGAACACAGTTTCCCAAACTTGGGTCTCTCCAAGTTTTCTGGACTACAACTCCCATCATCCCTATCTAGCAAAGTCAGTGGTCAGGGATGATGGGAACTGTAGTCCCAAAACAGCTGGAGACCCAAGTTTGGGAACCCTGTTTTAGGATGACCCTTGACCAGGCGGGGAGGGCTGTAGCTTAGGGGTAGTTCATTTATTCAAGCTATGGCATCTCCATGTAAGGCTAAATGGGAGGTGCCAAGGATTTGCTTAGAAATGTGGAAGAATACTTCAGTCTCCAATTCTGTGCACCCTTTCCTGGTTTTGGCGAGGCTTACTTCTGAGGAGGCAGGCATAGGGGGGCACAATGAATGGGTTACACTGCCTTGAGACTTGGGACCCAGCAGGGCTGGGTCTTACAACACCTATCATCCCTGACCACGGGCCACATTTGTAGGGTGCTTCCAGATTATTACTGCTTTCATGCAGGATTCAATAGCAGGCCAGCAAATTCAGATTGCGCAGATTCCTGCATTGCAGGGGGCTGGACCAGAGGATCTTTTGCGGTCCCTTTCAACCCTACAATTCTATAAATCAGAGTTGCTTGCGAAATCTCACATAACAAACCTGCTTCCCCAAGAGAGCAGAGTTTTCGACTGACAGGGGAAATACGTTGGAAAGTGTGGGGTAACGCTTGCTCCAACCTTCCAGCAAGCACATTGAAATGAATGCTCAATAAATAGTCAATGTCATCTAATCTCCCTGCAGAAAAATTAGGATGTGTGCTCAATAGAGAGGTAGTTGGGAAACACCTGTAGCCCAAAACATCTGGAGGGCACCAGGTTGGGGAAGGCTGCTACACACATGTACCTGGAAGTTTGTGTGTAATTCCCACTGCACAGACATGCCTAGGATTGAACTGTAAGGCGTTGTGGTTCCTGAAGCAGACAAGCCAAAGAACATCATTCCTACCAATAAACATGGGTTGCAAACTCTCTATAAACATGAGCATTCAGGCACGCTTTCAAGGCAGTTTGCCATGAGATCTTACAAAACTAAAAGCATAATACAGAAAATACAATCCAAATGAAAACACACAAAGCTGCTGCTGCAGCAGCTGCTCATCCCTCTCACCCACCCGCCCCCAAAAAGTCAAAATGCCAGGAGAATAAAGGAACACCCTGGTCTCATTCTGAAAGCACGATGCTGTTGGCGCCAGGCAAGCCTTCCTGGGGAGGGAATTCCACAAGCAGGCCACCAACACGAAGAAGGCTCCCACCACCACCACCACCACCCTCCACCTCTTCTCACTGCTTCTTGTTCTCCAGGATGGAGGGTGGGGAGATGTGTGTGTGTGTGTGTGTGTGTGTGTGTGTGTGTGTGTGTAAAAATCTCTGACTTGTGAGAAGCTGGAATGCAGCCTGCTGTGCAAAGGTATGTGTTATAGCCATTGCTCCGCCCACCATTGGCCCTCGTAAGGCTGCCTATGGTGGAATGTGGCCCCCAGGCTGAGAAAGTTTCCCCACCCTAGAGCTGGAGGTTATGAGGACTGTTTTATTGTGTTCTTTGGAACTGCTACACGGAATCCTATGGTGGGAACAATTATCTTGAGTTTGAGCAGCAGGAAGGGTTTAAAATGAAATATATAAACTCTGAATACTAGACGCTGGAAACAAAACACGAAGGGGAGAAACTTGGAGCTATGCTCTGTACCTGTGAGCTTCCCGAAAGTTGGTCACAGAATGCAGGTCTATCTAGACGGATTTTTTGGTTTAATTCAGCCAAACAAAGCAGTGAGGAAAGGGGTCTGGGGGCTAGAGCATAAATCACTCTCTCCTTGTGATTTGCAACACTTTGGCAGACCTGGTGTTGCTGGACAGCAGCCTACAACAACCTGGGCCAGATGTAAATGTCCAGGTTTCTTCCATGCCTCTATCTATGGCTCAAAACTTAACTTGAGCCAAAAGAAGGTTGTTGTGGGTTTTAAAAATAAATAAATAAGATGACGTATTGAAATCAGGAGGGAAAGGGCAACTCCCCAAAAAGAGCCCAGGAGTCCAGACAAGTATGGAAAACAGAGAGCTATATATAAGAGCTCTGGCAGACGAAAAGGTCTTGGGTCCCACTTTAGCAGGAGAGGCAGGAATAATCCAGCGCCACTGAGAAATTGTATGAAAATCCCTTCCTGTTTATATTCCTTCCTGTTTCAAGGAAGAGATGAAAGGAATATGTTACGAAGGCAAGGAAGAGAACAAAGGATAGGGGCAGGAAAGAAAGCATACGAACTTATAAATGAGGGAAAATGCAATCGATAAAAGTACATCAACATTGCAAATGAATATTTGCATTGCTATTCTAAAACTTTGCTTATCAAAAACAAAAGGTCTTTGTGGAATTTACAGCTTTATGTAACATGAGAGATGTTCAGGGCAGACTGGGAATCTTGGTTTCTGTTCTGAAAGATAATCTTCAGGTGACTGGATAAATACTGAATGGCACCAGCTGCAGTTATGCAACAGGGAGAAGAAAACACTCTGTGCATGCCCAGTCGGTCTTTTCTCTTTGAGTACAGCTTCAAGTCACCCAGAGATTAGCACTGACATTCAGGAGAACTATTTCATGTACGTATTAGTAGGAGAGGGAGGGAGGCAGAGAAAGAGAGTTTGTCCACAAGCTTGAAAGCTCCTCTTTTGGATATATTTAAGACTAAGGGTGCAATCCTATACATACTTTGCATGGGAGTAAGTCCAAATGGATTCAGATGGGCTTACTTATGAACAGACGCTTACAGAATTGCACTGTAAGTTACCACAAAAAAGGCTGCTTATTTTAAGAACATGTGATGCGGTGACTCTTTTTATTCCCCATAACAATTATAGCACTGCTGCCAGAGATTTGCTCTTTCATTTCTTTTTCAGAAGAAGGGTTTGTGACTTTGGTAATTGGCATGCATACTTAGAGCACAAGTACACTTCGCTGTTTATATGAATAGTCATTCAGAGTGCAGAACCAGCAAAGCTGGCCAAGAGATATTGGTCCACGTGATCTGAAACATGTGAGAGAGTGTGTTTGTGGGTCTGTCCCTGGCTGCCCTCCCTAAATTGCGCTCTGGCTTAAATTAAGCGAGTATTCCCAGCAGTCACGATGAAGGGCTCAATGTCCTGCTGAGTACTTTGCCCCTTCCCTGAAGCAAAGCAAAATACTGCACCCAAATTCACTCAATATAAGCACAATTGCTTGACTCACACCATGGTTGAAGAGATTAGAATGCAATTTCTGACAATGCAGAATGATTGCACAGAATGTGCCTTAGCACATTCATTTCATCATGTTGAAATAAAGCCAAATAAGTCAAATAACGTTTTGCAAGTGCCACCACTATGGATGGGGTGTGTGTGAGGAAACTTGATTCGATCCACATTTAAAGGCAAACCTACCCAATTTGCTCTTTCTAAAACAGTATACAAACTGAAATGCAGCAAACCTTCGAAAGTCACACTTCTCCCATTTTTGCAGTACAGGTCTCCAGCCATGTAATGTGTACAAAAACTGGGGTAAAGTGTGCATAAAAATGCATATAATAGTGAAAGCAAGCATACAAGAATGCATTATATCTGGGGAAATTGGTTTGCAAAAATGTGTAGCTTCAGCAAAATGGCATACAAAAATGTGTATATGGGGAGAAATTTGCACCAAAATAGCTGATGAATGTTCATGAGGACTTTTAAAAAATAATTCATAAATTGATGTTGCAATGTGGAGAACTGAAGACTGGCATAATTAGATTCTGGAACTGACAGATTTCCTATCTTTTGCCACCTCCCTCTCTGTTTACTGAAACTAAGAATGCTACATGGAAGCAATCCTCCAGCGACTGTACCTTTTTGGTTACTAGGGCAGAGAACTGAGCATCTCATTATTCATCTACATACACAGAACTTGTGCCAGAGAACTTAAGAAGCTGGCTTCTCACTCAGGCAGAATTTCCTTTAAGATCCATGGCACTGATGTTCCTAAAGCCCAGGGCCTCTCTTTCTCC